GACATCCGTGACAAGGACCTTTATGCGAAGGTTACCTTCGATCGCGAGGAAAGGAAAAGTTATAACATTCCGATAGCTATAATGGACAGTGGGAAGCCACCGATGACAGGAACTTCGACATTGACAGTCATTATTGGTGATGAGAACGACAATCGTATGGAAGAGGGTTCGAGTTCAATTTTCGTTTACGTTTACAAAGGTGATGCACCGGATACAAAAATTGGACGAGTTTATGTCAAGGATTCAGATGATTGGGATTTACCTGATAAACATTTTACTTGGGCCTCGACGCAAGAAGGTTTTGATTTAGATGAAGATACTGGTATGATAACTCTCTTGTCTGGTACCTCGAACGATACCTTCCATATGAAATTCCTCGTAACAGAAGAAAGACTTCCTAATATTACTCGTCATCAAGTATACGCTTACGTTAATGTTACGGTAAAGGAAATTCCCGAAGAAGCGGTGATTAAGTCCGGATCCGTACGTTTTACTGGCATAACTGCGGAAGAGTTTGTTGAACCGGATCAAAATGGTGTCAGTAAAAAAGATATATTCCAGGAAAAAATAGCCTACATGTTGAATACATCGATAGACAACGTTGATGTTTTCACCGTTCTTCATTCTCCTTATCACAACAAGACTTTCTTAGATGTCAGGTTTTCAGCACACGGTAGTCCTTATTATGCTCCTGAAAAATTAAATACCATCATGTCACAACACTCTGCGAACATTGAGCGTGCGATGAAAGCAGATATATTGATGGTGAATATCGACGAGTGTCTTTACGAAAAAGTGCATTGTAACAATTCTTGTCGAAGTTTCTTAAACGCTAGTAACGTTCCTTATCCGGTTTATACGAACACCAGTTCCTTCGTTGGTGTCAGAGCTGTTATTGAACCTCAATGTACTTGTCATGTCGCTGAACCTATTGTCTGTTTAAACGGTGGTACACCATTAGCTGATAGATGCGAATGTCCCCCAGGATTGGAGGGTCCAAGGTGTGAATTATTAGGTATAGGTTTCCACGGCGATGGCTGGGCTATAATGCCGCCTCCTGGTCAGGCCTGTGATGACTCACACTTAGGTAAAAATTAATTGAATTTATGATCAATCACCCGTCTAATAAATTATTGTGTTCTTTATATACATTCTTCTTTTTATTCGTAGGCTTAGAAATCACGCCAGAAATCGATAGTGGTCTCATATTTTATTTCGGCCCAATGATATATAGTCCAAAATTAGGAGTTCAAGATTTTATGGCACTAGAAATTCAACAAGGTTACGCTGTTCTCTATGTTGATTATGGTACGGGTACTATAAGATTATATCAAAGACAAATTAAATTAACCGACGGCAAGAGTCATAGGATTGATGTTTATTGGACCAAGACAGTGAGTGATATAATTTTGATTAGTTACATTTAAAATCATATTATCAAGTGGTTTGCTTTTTATAACTAATAACGTAATAATTAATTCTTTATTATAGTCAATTGAAATGAAAGTAGATAATTGCGGCATATCAGCTTGCATGAGTTTGACTGCACCAGAAGGTTCCAATGAGTTCCTTAATGTAAATAGTCCGATGCAAGTGGGCGGTACATTAACGAATTTAGCATATTTAGCTAAGAACTTGGGTTGGCATCACAAGCCAACTGAAAAAGGTTTTGTTGGTTGCATTCGAAATATGACTATAAATGGAAATGTAAGTTATTCTCGACATTGAAATTATTAAAAAAAAAAAAAAAAAGGATAAACTAATGTATTATTGATTATCTAAAAAAACTATCTTTCTCGTAGACATATAATTTAGGAATGCCAGCGTTTTCAAGAAATATAGATCCAGGTTGTGATCATGGAATGGCAAAGGCTGTGTCATTTGGCATCGACACTAATTTTTTAGTCGCAATCCTAGTTTGCGTAGCGATTCTATTGATATTGCTGTTAGCGGTAGTAGTCCGCAGAAGAAAGACTGATGACCTCTATAAAGATATGGATGATATAAGGGATAACATTATTAATTATGAAGACGAAGGTGGTGGCGAGGTAGACACTGGCTACGACTTGAATGTTTTAAGAGCTATTTATGATGCACCACCGATTGAATCTAAAATAGCACCTGTTGGTCTTCAAGGCAGAGGTAAATTAAAATTTCAGATAAAATATTTGATATATTTAAAAAAATTCATGTAAATCTCATAACGATTATTTTTAATGTTTAGCTCCTGACGAGGTACCAGATATTTGTGGTTTCCTAGATGGCAAGAAGGAAAGCTGCGATAAAGATCCCGACACGAATCCGTTCGACGATGTTAGGCATTACGCTTACGAGGGTGACGGAAATTCTGACGGTTCCTTGTCGTCATTAGCTTCATGTATGTATCATTACAATTGTGCGGACTAATTTTGAAATTAATTCACTACCAATCAAAGAATTGATTTTCTGATTATTTTTATATAATATAAATAATTTTAATCTATAATAAAATTATAAAATCAATTGTTTT